TGCTAGAAAGCAACACTGAAGAAATTATGTGCACTTGAGTTTGACTTTATACATCAAAAGTTTCAAGGTATGTGTATCATGGCTAAAAAACTATGATCATCGCCAACAATTTTGCCATCCACTGTAGTGGACACCATGCGTGAAAGGGTTAAAATTCAACGAAAACTGATCAAGTTCTCAAATAACCCTTTTAGCGCTGTGCAGCCAATTTTTCAACCACATGTACTCCTAAAGATGCCAAAGGGCTATTTTTTTGGCCATGGCTTTTCATTAGGTTCCTTCCATCGTGTAGCTGCGGTTCTTACTGTTAGATGACAGAAAAATAAGCCTACAGCTTTTTAGGAAGTGGTTGACTTGGCCGGAAAAAAAACCCGCAACACCCAAAGGGTTAAAGGATCTTTGATCAATTCAAATATTTAATTAATTTACATCCTTAACTAAGATACAATTAGAAGAAAAGGATGTGGACTATATGCTGTCGAAAGGACAGGCTAACTTGAAGGAATTATTTATTTTCATCCTTCATCAGGCATACAGTAGTGACCAGATAGAAGAGTGGAAGGAGCAGGATGGCTCAAATCGCTGTTGTGAGTTAGAACTTGCTTTATATTAGGTTAGGTGAACTTGTTTATATTGCTTTGGTGACATGGAGAAGCATGAAATGTATTATCTTCTTCTAGGTGACAGGGAGCAATAAGGGCATTGGGTATGCAGTAGTCAAAGAGCTATGCTCAAAATTCGATGGATTGGTGTATCTGACTGCCCGAGATAAGGAACGGGGTGAAACTGCTATTCAAAAACTGGAAAAGGTAAATTGAATTTTTCCTGCTTTCATTCCTTGTAAATTATGGACCTAATTGCATACTTGCAGTATGAGTGGAGGGATTCTGATGAGATTAACAACATGTGAAGAGAAGTTTGGTCTCTTCACTGGTGATAAATAATCAACCACTTTGAGTAGGACATTTTTCTTGTCTGTCCACAAAAGTGGTCCATGCATCATTCAATGATTCCTTAGTGTAATTCAAGACCCTTCTAGTTAACATACAATATACAGAGGCTGAACTCTGATAGGATGCACAACCCAAGAACAGATTAGTGCTTTCAAATTTTTAGGAGCTACAATCATGCAAGATTATCATGCACTACAGTTGAGCTAAGGGGAAGAGTGGCACAAGCAACAACTGCTTTTAACAAATTGAAAAAATTTGGAATGACTAGTGCATAAATCTAAACCTAACAAAGATTTCTTTGCAGTATTAGTCTTGCTAATACAACCCTTACAGCCTGGCCATTTCATGAAAAACTCAAGGTTTTTCAAATAAATTAATTATTAATTAGCTACTTGTTGACTTGTTAGCTTTTATAACTAGAATGTACTCCAAAGTATGTAGAGCACAGAGAATGTGGTCATATGAATAGTGTTCAGAAATCCAGCTTAAAAAAGTTTAATGATGACACATGTCATATATGAGATTTGTTTCTGGGTCACCAAGAAAGCTGTTTTACATCAGAAATCTCCAATTGAGGATTTGAATGTTTTAACAGTGTTCAAGCTGAAAATGCACCAGAAACTTTACTATATCCATGGTATGACAGATTTATTTATAAAGAAATCAGGAGACTGGCCAGTGGCAGAGAAGAGAACAGCAATTGATAATTATCCAAAGGAGACAAAGACAGCAGCTAGATCGGTTCTATAACATAATGTCGAAAGCCACAATGTCATCAGATTTTTTGTCGACTAGCAAAAATGTCGAATGTCACACAATGTCGAATGGACAATGGTCGAATGGGCATAATGTTGATTGTTACAATACCGAAAGCGTCAAAATGTGGAAAAACGTCGAATCCTCAAAATGTCAAAATCCGGTTATTCTTTTCCGTTCCTTGGGTCCTGATATAATCAAGGAGAGGCGATTATATTCTTTGACAATGGTCCAGATCGCTCCAATCTCTTTTCAGCAATTTGGAAGGTCACCTTCGAGGAGCAGGGTTTGAATGACGATAACGCTTTACACAAGGAGATCCATTCGGGTCCTGATGTCTCGATCTTTGCCTTGCAAGCAATCGAGAAGCCGTTCAGGGTTGAGCTGTAGATCCTGCGAGGAGCGTGAGCGCAGTCGCAGGCGTTTTAAAGGTCCATGATCGTGGTCCGTGTCATTCTGGTTTTGGCGCGAAGTTTGGAGAGATGGAGTGTGACCCAAAATAAGCACAACAAATGTAAGCAAGGATATATGTCCCTCTACTAATCCGATTGAAACAAAAATTAGCACAAACATCTAGTTGGACATAAACTAGGTAAAACAAAAAATCAACAAATCCCCATACTCTCTCCATGCAATGTGCAAGAAATGCCGGGAGACTTCTTGAGCTACGTAACGTCTCTCAACAAATGAATTAATTGGAATGACTTCCTTCCTTCGGTTTGTACATGGAAAATTATCGAGTGGAGAAGTGGAGTGGAGAGCCTCCGCAGAACAGTTCATTAAGGAAATCAGGAGACATGCAGAAGTTGGTTCATTGCCACCTCGCTTATATGGTGGGAACTTCACTTTCACTGAATGAACTGCCATATGCCAGGCCAGATGACAGGCCAGATGACAGACCAGATGACAGACCAGATGGAGGGCCTCAAAGGGGCGAGGACTCCATCCAAAGACATCCATGGGTAGACCCAGAGAGGATGTCCTTGGAAGTTCCTTCTCTGAACGTCCAATGGACGGCCATAAATGAACTGACACATCATTTCGTTCCTAATGTCGAACTCGACTGGTATATTACATCATGCACTGGTTAAAGTATAATGTTACACTACATAATGGTGGAAGTTACTCGATTTCGACCTTAAATGAGAGATTTGAATAATACAAATTAGAACCCCAGTAGCCATGGACAGTCATATATCCAAAAGACGACCACCTCTGGGTGGTCGTCTTTTGGATATATGTAGGATGCCATCGCCATGGATCGATATCTTCTCGTGGATTCTGAGCTTTATTCCAGCAGAATTCTCCGGCATCGAACACTCGATTGTTTCCATTTTATTGAATTATGGTTTAATGGAATGGCGTTACCAGCATCCGATCATGGGATTTATTTTGTTCTTCTTCTAATCTCCCATCTTAGGTCGCAATCCTGTAACTTCAATCAACATCAATATTTAGATAATGTGACATTATAATTGCACCAGTGCATAATTTTCTTTAGATTTGGACATTACAAACGAAACGATACCATGTCAGTCCTTCTTTGGACATCCATTGCACGTTTAGCAAAGGAACTTCCAGGGGCAACTTTTTATGGTCTATTGAATCTCCTTGCATGGAATCACCGCCCCATCGAGGCCTTCCATCTGGCCTGACACAGCAGTTCATTAAATAAATATGAGAATATATATGAGAATACATAAATCCATGGCGATGGCATCCAATGTACATCCAACGGACGACCGCCTCTGGACAACTGGACCATCCATGGACGAGTTTTGGATCGCCCATGGCTTCTTGGGACGTCTCTCTGCCTAAGCACTTTCAGGATTGCGGCTGGCATGACGCGCACTGCGATTATTTCCATTATATTTGCTGAAGGTCCTGTTTCACTTGGCGAGGGCTTACCATTTACTCGCTTCAAACTGCCAGCCATCTATTCCACGAATGGGGAATTTGATTTTTTGAGCACCTGTGTACAGATGTCGCTAAATATGCAAAGATGATGGTTGCCCGCAGAAAGTTGAAGTTCTCATCAGTCATGGTGGATCTAGTCGACTATGTGATGGCACGTCGACTGCCAAAATGACACTTAGGAGGCCAAGGAAAGCCAAAACAGATATCTTCGATTCGGTTCAAATGATTTTCCCGAAGATCCACGAGCCATTCGCTTCATATTTAATTTATCCCAACCAATCCCCAAACCAATCTCCTACGAGTTTCCCACCTGGCAAGGTAACGAAGGGATGAAACGAGCAATTCCTCTGGTTGGGTCTGTCGGTACCGTTTTCTTCTTTGTTGCCCTTGGAGCCACCTTCTCTAAGAGTCTCTGGAAGGTCATTTCGTTCGTTCGAAGAAAGCCAGCGACGTGATCGGGAATAGCCTCTTTCAGGTTGGGCAATAAAAAAATAGTGAACCACGAGAGTAGATCTTCCGAAGCGGCAGAGCATCGTCCAAACTCGTCCGTTGTGCCACCCACTCTTCCTGACGATGCACCATGCCCGAATGAGGGCAGCAGCGACACTGGCGTCGAAAGGCAATTGATATAGACGCTTCCCGTTGACCTTTTCAAATCCTGTCATGGGAGGAGTGGGGCTCCGTCTGGCCTCGAGGTTGTCTTTTCATTGGTTCTTCTAGCGAGTACTCGCCTCAAGTTTGAAATCTTTCAAACTCGTAGCGAGTGCTAGCGAGTGGCCCTAGCGAGCACTCGCCTAGTGTAACAGGGCCTCAAGAGTCCAGAAAGCCTTTCATCATCACCTATTCAAGGCCGATCCCAGAGACTCCCAATATCACGTCTCACCCCTCTCTGAAAGGCGAGAATCGGGACGAGACACAAGCTGCAGCCAAAGCAACTACGACCGGCCACCCACCCCGACGCGGGATAGTGGGATGCGGACTAGCTGTGGATCGGAGCTGCGCCCATACCTGTCATGGCCACCCATTCAACGCTGTCTTCCACGTGCTCTCCCTCTTATCTACCGGCGATATCCGGTGCAAGCGTCTTCTCGTGCGAAAGGAAACTGACTGGAATATCGGGCCAGTAGGATCGCATCGTACATGCTTGATCCATTCTAGTGTTATATTCATGGCGACTTTCCATGGGAAGAGGTTGGGAATGAAAATAAGAATCAACGGTTCTCTAGTTTCTTCCTGAGTAACAATGAATATTTCTGTAACGGTTTGAGTTAATTACTTTAGCATGAAAGGATTTAGCTTTAATGGAAGCTACACACCATCGCAATAATTTAGAAAGTAATTAGTCTCAGAAAGTTACAATGAAGTGGTGTGAGAATGGAACGTTTTGTTCTTCGCATGGAAACCCTGGCCCAAACATGGAACTGGGTGTCAGGTCATAGGTCCATGAACTAGAATGATTATAATTGCCATGAGGGTCAACAGGACAAAGGTTTTACTAACAATAACAAGGAATTAGTCTAGGCCTAAGGTCACACAAAATGAGGATGATGAAGGCTAAGGATCACAAAGGGAGTCCAAATCCTAAAGTGCAAAGAAGGAAATCGTGGAAGAACCAGGAATAGCTACAACTGGATGAAGTTCTGAACTTGCAACGTTTGGAGAAGAATAATGATAATAATTACCTGTCTTACTCTAGGTCTAGCTTAATCTGCCATAAATACTTAGGCCCAACAGGTTAGGAACATTGTCTTCCCTCCTAAGCCTAGACATGCACACTGAATGGATAAAGACAAGTCCATTTAGTGTGACCATAAGGGAGTCATGTTCAGTTACATGTGGGCGTTAGTGTTGCTTTTACTGCATCATATTTCTCTGGGGATTATGCCTGCCTGAAAAGTATGAATGAACTCCTGTCATTTTTTAAGGAAAGCCGGGCATTGAAAGCATGCAAGCAAAGCCGACTATTGTACCTCGATTACTCATGGCATTCGTATCTGCCCTCAGAGAAATAAAGTCAATGGACAGGACCTCCTTCAACATTTCTCGTCTATCTCGTAACACGTTTATGAAATGACAGATTTTGCCAATATGCACTTGCATTATTAGTTTTTATTTGGAAGTAGGTACTCCCTTTACATCATTAAGATATATTGTGGTATCTTATTTGTGAACTGCATGCATTCACTTTGTGCTCTGTATAAGTGTTGCTTGTAGATTTATTTAAATTAAATTAAAATTATAATTATTTTAGTATTGCAGCTGGCACAGCTGAAGGGATGCAACTTGCTAGGAGATTCAAAGCAACTCAAATATATTTTCTAAGATAATTTTTCATGGTTAAATAATAATTAAAAGGGAACTCGAAGACAATAAACATATGGGGATGCAGCTACCTATTGCTTTTTCAGCAACAACAGAGAGTTGTTTTCAATGTATACTTTAGGGCAGGGGTGTCAAACTCAAATCGGTCGGCGGGCCGCATTCCTTATCCTGCAGATGCCTGCGGGCCACACCAATACTTTTTCACCGAAATTTGTGCTATCAGTCAATCCAAGCGGAAATTTCAAGAACAGGCGGCGGGCCGGATGAACCACCTCCGCGGGCCGTATGTTTGACACCCCTGCTTTAGGGGATTGCATTCAAGTAATTAATGCTTCTAAGGAGAGTGAAACCAGCATTATCATACGTAGAAGGGCTTTCAACATGGATACTATCATTTGATACACTTAGTTAGCCTAATTTGTACCTTTCTACAATTAGAACATCTCTGGCTAAGGCTTTTGACAGAACCATACATAGAGACTCCAAAATTTCAATTTTATTTTGGATTAAATCCATTTGATGTGGATTAAAGTTGAGGTTTCTCCTTGTACACTTAAGCTCACATTACAGGATTGTGTACTATTTGGTGATGAGAGTTATATGTAAAAACTAATAAGCCTGACCTAATGAAAATTTGGTAAGGACTCATACAGTGATGGTTTGGCATAGATTATTATTGCTGGAGAACCCAATAGGATTCTGACTGCATCTAGGCTTTTCAGAAGATGGCCGAATGATGGACTGGAGTTTCATTTTAATATAATCTTTGTTCCAGGTACAATTCAAAGTAGATATGGAGGTCCACAGTGCATCCAACCAGTTGCAATTGTTGTTGTTACACTGCCAGTTTTACACATCATGAAAAGCGCAAGTCTTTTCTAAGGCCTTCTAGAATCACAAAAATGAAGCTGATGAAACCTCCCTGGGTTTCACATGATGGTAAGTTATTTTGATAACATTGATGTTAGGGAGAATCCTATCCAAAATCAGTGTCTCACGAGTGAAATATTATAGGCTAAAATATGATAATAAAAAATGTGTGTAAAATGCTCAAAGGTTTTATATTTCAAAAGAAAAAATGTTGATGTGAAAACCTACAATAAAATATTAAGAACTTTTGATTCCAAATGTTTTGCATACCAGCTTCTTTAACTTTTTTTCTACAAGTAACTCTTATATGCATAAGTATGAGGTGTGAGCTACCACGCCGCAGTGGTCTATACGACATTTGCGGTGTGAGCTACCACACTAATTCATGGCACTGATATTGCCAGTATTCCCCAAGTACGAGGTATGAGCTATGAGCTATACGGTGGCCTACCTGGCGCCGGTACGCCTAATCTGGTCTAATCCTTGCTTTACTTCACATGGGACTCAATGAGGGGATGAAGAAGTCTACCTTCTCATGAGTTAATAATGTGTTCCTAAAAATGTTGAAAGTACTTTGGATGATATGGGGAATCACTCTGGTATTAATACACCCCTTGTCTATTCCCTCTCCTGTAATAATTTTAAATGCATCTAAAAAATTATATGAGACATCACTAATGCATCAGCATCAACTCTTCATTAAAATATTCTAATGTTTTTTGCAGAACAACAAACTTCTTTGTATAAAAAAAAGGGATAATTATGTAATAATTTGACAGTGGTCTGTTTTACTTGACTGTCAAACAGGTTGCATGACAACTGCATGTCCATATATATGACCACGTCGAACGAAATAGCAGGCAATATTTTAGTTTTACATGTGAGCTGCTGTGTGGGGATTATGTACTTAAAATATAATTGTCTCTCCATTTAATAATGTGTATGCTTCCAGGTAATCCAATCATATCCATTGACATCCACCCTGATGGCTCCCGCTTTTCAACTGGAGGACAAGGTAAACTTTCATTTGTTCATTTTCTTTGAGGTACTTTTTATATGGGCTGAATTCTGAGTCTTCAAAATGTGGACTTTATAGGTGATGACACAGGAAGGGTTGTTATTTGGAACATGGCTCCTATCTGGAGCTTAGATATTGAAGAAGATGAAAACGTCCCTCGCATCTTATGTCAAATGGATAATCATCTTGGTATGTCTTCAAATTTCTTCTCTGTCCTTTAATCCAGAAATGTGAATTATGCTTAATGGTTTCAGACTCCATGTGACCCCACTTTATTGAATGGCAGGAACAAGGTAATACTTGGGAGTTTACTGGCATAGTCCTCTCATGTTAACCCTTTCTGGTCCATTTTGTTTGTAACACCATGGAGATTGTCGGATTTGGTCCACCAGTGGACTGCAAAGGGTTAATAGTCATTTTTGGGATTATGCACTTTTTCCAAGTCATCAATTTGTTTTGCCTTTGAAATATTGACAAACAACTGTTACACAATTTGAAAAGGATCCATATATTCTATTAGGAAAAGTTGAATCTGCAAGTAATCAGATTGTTGATGTGATTTGTCCTACATAAATATAAAAAAGACCTGGGAAGATTCTGAGGGGTGCTTCTGCAAACCAGATTTTTTTTTCACTCTAAATATGATTTTTCATGGGAACACTTGCTTTTTTTTGTTTTATGCCAATGTTGGTATTTTCAGGATGCTACCCCTTCTTCTGCTCAATTTTGTCCTAATTGTTTTTTCCATTTGGTGCTAATTAAGTATCTACAAAACTTTGCTTTTTTGTTTGACTATTATCTGTCAATCAAGCTCTGCATGATAGTACTTTTTAAAAGTACTATCATGCATGAACATTACTTCCCTGAATAAAGAATTCATTCAAGTTCATTCATCTTCTGTAAAATTCAATATTTTCAGCCTTGATGTCAGTTTTTTTTGTTGCAAACTTTGCCAGTGCCTTGCATATGGGGTAGAACTGGGTTAATGGCCACTGTGTGGACATGAACTGTTAATATGTGCATAATTCAATGAAATGAGCAATCTCTGCTGATGTTGAATCTTGTCATTGAAGACTATATCAATGTAAGGGTCACACTTCCTCCACTAATGTCAATTTCCAATATCAAGTGTACTGAGGAGTGTATTGGAATTTGCCTGGTAAAAACCTTCAAAAATTGAAAAGCTGGAAAAAATAGGAAAATTTATTCAAAGTTGTTGTTAAATTTATTTCCTTATGTACATTTCATTTTCTTCTCCCTTAATGATGATGTAAATCCACCTAGATTGAAAATGGAGTTATGAAAAGTATAACATTTTCTAGAAAGGAGATTTTGGTATTTTTCAAGAAAAATGTCAAAATGTGCCAAGTTTCTAGAACAGAGCTAGTAATACAACATGATACAATCCAGCAATGGCAGACCATAGGACAGGTGATTAGAATTCAGAAAGGATATTTTAAGGATAAAGGAATCTTATTGCAAGCAGATGTGCATCCCAGGAAGAACTGTATTTCATCTCTATGGACTCAAGCAGCTTGTACTCATGCCAAATCTTTTTCATTTATTCTCCATGGGTTTAAGGAAGCTATTACAAAGAAGTTTTTGCATGAAAAGAGTAAAAACCAGCCCTAGATCCCATTTCTTGTCCTGTTGGGATTTGCAAACACCCTTACATATTGTATTAGTAGAAAAGGCATGTTTTTATAAAAGAGAACCCCTTCTCACATTTTTGTGCTTACCATTGAAGGCCTTCTTGTCAAGTCCCTGCTTGACTGCAGAAGGCATGAAAAAAAAGTGCTAGTCTTATAATGAGTTCCTTTCTACTGAATACTACATATCCTGTAGTCCCTGTGTGATTTGTGATGCATGCAGGAACCAGCTACTTGAACCTTGACTTCTAATTCATAATACTTTGGGAGGTTAAAGAGTGAGGTGATTATGCTCACACTGAATCTCTTGAACTCCTTGTACTGATATTCATGAATGGATAAACTTATGAAATTTGAAGTGAACTGTGTGGGCATGTATAAATGAAACCCTTAAGCATGTGAATTAAATTATATTGTCAAAATTATTCCATTGAAAAATGATGTTAATGACAAGGTCAGTAAATTAATAGCTGATTGCTGAAACAATATTCATATCTTTATGATTTGGCAGCTTTTTTTTCCAATAGAATTGATTCCTTAGACATTTTTGACATCTAATAACTATGTCCTATGGGGCCATGTAAAGTTTGTGGATGGAATGTTTTCTTTCATTACTTTTTTCTAGCTTGTGTGAACTGCGTGAGATGGTCCCCATCTGGTCGATACCTTGCATCTGGTGGTGATGATAAGGTAATCATGATCTGGCAGCTAGGCCGCCATGGTGGAGGAAGCACTGCATTTGGGAGCTCCGTTGTTAATGTTGAACCCTGGCGGTGTGCTGCCACTTTACGTGGGCACTCAGGTGATGTGTTTGATCTTGCCTGGTCTCCCAGTGAGGAATGGTTGGCATCCTGCTCTGTTGACAACACCATCTATATCTGGAATGCTGTAAGGTGGCCAGGTGAGCTGCACAACCTTCATTCTGACTGTTCTGTGATGACTTTCATTTAAAAAATGCTGGTGGTAAATATTTGACATATAGTACTTTAGTTAACAATTGAGTTTTTTCTGCTGCATTTGGATATGTCCCTTGCACAGGAACATTCATCCTGCTCTTTCATATGTCCACTAGATTTTTAAACCAATGCTAATATCTGATGGAAATTGATTATGGAATATGATTGCTTGAAAAATGCCTCTGTAAATTATGTTTTTACACCATTTTTCATATTTCTTGATTCTCTACCATATTTCTTTTCATGGAACATAATAAGTATATATATTCCAGTGCTGTCCTCCTTACTGTCACCTGTTTACATGTTTTGTTTCCTGCTTGGCCTTGTTTTCCACAGAGGTTGTGACCATCTTGAGGGGACATTCAGGATTAGTGAAAGGACTTGCTTGGGATCCAGTTGGGAAGTACATTGCATCACAAGCAGATGACAAGTCTCTACGTGTCTGGCGCACTGCTGATTGGCACTGTGAGAGGGTCATACGGGAGCCTTTTGGAGATGTGAGTCATGTAGAATTTTATCTGGATTTGAATATAATTCCATGAATTGCACTTTTTCAAACATTTAAAGAAGAGGGCCTGTTTCACTAAGATCTACCCAGAAAGTAAAAAAAAGAAAAGGTTTGAATGGAGATGTTTTAGAACAGCTCATGTCCCAGTCCTAATTTTCATTGAGCAGGAGTGAATATGGTATTTGTCAAGATGATGACAATGAGTCTGGTTCAACTTTCCATGGTTATGAGGAAGAATCCCCCCCCACATGGATTAAAAAGCGGCAAGATATTTATGCTAATATATTATAACTACACTATACTAGAGCATAAGTAGTGCAGATGATGACCATGTCTGCCAAACAGGCACGATCATCATCTGCATTACTTGTACGAAAAGCCTGGTCTATGCCCTGGCAAATGCTTCTGTACCTGGCACAACAGTCTATGCACAGTGAATACTGCTATATTGATTGAAAAGATGTGTGTTGTTTCTAGGGTTGCCACCTTTGAATATACCAAAATATGGACAAATATTCATAATATACCCACAGCTACCTTAAGCCAAGGCGCCAATCGATACTATGAGTGTGGCCTCTTGCTTTTGACTCATGGAAAATAACGATATTAGCTACTATCATGCTTTATTCAAAAAAAAAATCTTAAGTTTAATGTAGACAAAACAGTGTGCAAATTTTGACCAGTTTGCAGTATGGACATTGTATCTGAAATATGTACTGTCCATACTAATTATGAACGGTGGCAACCCTAGTTGCTTCTGATATTATTTGATCTGAATTGCCTTTGCAGTATACATTACATTTTTTATTAAAACTTTGGGGAAAACGCAAATGGTGAACATATGCATAATTTGGCAAATGCTTAAGTATTCATATAATTCCACCAATGATGCACACACATGTTAACCTTCAGTTTCACAATTTCTGGTTACTGTTGTACAAAATACTTGTTGATCAAAATACTTTTTTTGTGCATGAATATTGGGACATTCCTCACAACCCCTGGGAGATGGAGCTTCAAATTTGCTGGAGCGATTATGTGGCGAGAGAGGAAGAAGTATGCCAAATTTTTTTGCGGTTGATGCCCTCAGAGAGGAATACGAAAAGGTTGAATTATGTGGCGGGAAGGGGTTGAAGAAAGGTAATAGGCACTACCGTGCCTATTGATACCTGGTGGCCCAAAAAAATGCACCCACATTTTGAATAACTGCATAACTGAAGGAAATAAAATCACATGTTAGCATTACTTATTTATTAATACTTCATACAATCTTTATCTATTTATACACTATTAGTTCAGCAGAGATGCTCAAATTGGCATCCATAAGCATTTAAACAAATAAATGACAATAATGACAAAATTACGACAGAAAGAGTGGGTACATTTTTTTGGGCCACCCTGTATTTCATCAGCAGTGAATGTGTTCATATATATATATCATAATTATATATTATAATGTATAATTACATAACTAGCATAATTTACAAAGTACATAAATTATTTCATGTAAATATGTTTTTGTTGTGGTAAAGAATTACTGTTAATTAGGAAGCATTTTAAATGTTAATGCATACATATTTACCCCTGTTGCACATGCCCATGGAAATATAGAGCTAACACTTAAAATACATCAACATTATGTTAGAAGTTGATATGTTCTGTTACTGAAATTTTCATGGAAATTAAATTACAATAAAATAAATTGACATTTGATGGACTGAATTTTTGGTTTAAAAAGCAGACACAGCAGGGGCCTAATCACATGGAGTCAATTTGCCTATGATACTGCATTTTAGTTCTGAATGTAAAATGAATAATTCTCAATCATTTTATTTTACTGAGAGTTTTTATCCAATTTATAGCTTAGGGGAGAGTTTTTATCCAATTTATAGCTTAGGGGTGGGGGGGAAGGGCAGTTTCTGGTTGAATATTGCACATTTCAACTTTGCTGTATACATTCCCAAGTTATATGAAAAAGTTGGATTGAGTAATTGTTCAATATTGCTGCTTGTCATTTCTTTCCATTCTAAATACTCTTCATCTGTTCAAGTCATCAACATGTTCTGTAGAGACTGATAATCATGTCAGTTGTGAAGCTTCTGCAATGTGTCACGCAAGAGCATGTCTTCTGGCTCAATTGTGTTGAAGGAGAGCAGGGAATGAAGCTCTTTTACGTTTTACCCTTAGCAAGAAAAAAGAAGGAAATTAAAAGATTTAATGCAATAAGTGGTAGTGAAGAATGAAACTTTTTCTGGTTGAGTTATATCAAAGTCATTATGGATTCAGATTGCAGTTCTTGTTGAAACCTCTACATTGCACAGCAATTGCTAATCCTTATGAACTGCTTGGTGATTATGTAGTTTTTTAGGTGAAACATCATGGTCTATATGACACATATTGATTTCTCAGACAACAGGAACAACTCATGTGTTGAGGCTGAGCTGGTCTCCTGATGGGCAATATCTTGTGTCTGCACATGCCATGAACAACTCAGCACCCACTGCTCAGATCATTGAAAGGGAAGGCTGGAAGATGGATAAGGACTTCGTGGGTCATCGCAAGGCCATCACCTGTGTTGTTAGTCTCTTATTTCTCTTGTCTTTCTCTTATTTCTGTTGTTTTGCAATTACAGTCCATTTTTGGGTTCTTAAACATGGAAGGTTGCAATGTCTTACAGAAATAATTCTCTTCATCATTGAAAGAAATTATTTTCTACCCTTTCTTTAGCCTTGAATGAAGCATTATGATGGAGAATTCACCATTGTCAAAGTCCTCTACTATTAAGGTTTTTACATCTTATTTGTTGCAGCTGTGGGTTTTTTTGGTAGAGTATGTGCTCTAATGTAAGGTGCAATCTACCTCTGACTCCACTAGCAGGGAAGGGAACTAGGTTAAACCATAAGTAGGGCTGTGCTGATTATCGCGATACCGTTCAATGTGTGTCTTATTGGAGATATGTCTGCATATTGTGATGTAGTGAGCCATTCTGGCATCTCTGAGGGGTTCGTCACTACTTTCTGCATTTCTCTGGTGAGTTGTTCATGTAGTGATGTTAATTGCTTCAGCAGAAGTTTGGAAGAAGGTCATGTCCAGGGCTCTTCCAGTTTGCTGTTTGTTTGAGCACCTTCTTCATATCAGATATTGTAATCTGGAGGTCACTCCTTTGGGAATATCTGTTAACTCCCTCTGACGTCAGAGCCTTGTGGCATTGGCGTTGTGGCTTACTGGGCACTCCATGATGTTCGACCAGAATTCTTCCAGTTCCACTCTGCCAGGAATCTTCTTCACTTCTCTGGGTTTTGCATGTTCTTCCAGACGTTGCTCTTGTGTTGTCATGTTGACTCACTTAATCCCCTGGGGGCAAAGAACGGAATCAAGCACATCATATGAGTGCTAAGCACCTTGTCACTTGTGCCTAAAGGAGAAGTAAGTGTTGCCACACTGCAGAGTCTGTCCATACTAGGGAATTAGTTATTGTTTTGCATATTAGATTATCCTGGATTAATTTTGTAAGACCTTTGTATTGTTTTTGATTGAGGTCATGCTTGCACTAGAACTATAGATTCATGCAGTCAGAATTCTTTGTAATCCTTATAGGGGCAAGGTTCCTCCATGCCATTCAACCCAACTGTGATTCCTGCTGACAATAAATGTGACTTCAAATATTCTTTGATTGAAGCATTCTTTTGTAAAGAGAAAGACTGCTTCAAGAATAAAGTGACGTAAGTATCCACTCTCCGCAGACCTCCGAGTTTCAAGGATGTCATTCATCATTCATCCTCTAAACCTCATCTTTCAATGAACTGTTTCAACTTGTTCACTTCTTCTATGAACTTCATAGATGCATGAGCTGGAAAAATGTTTAAATTCCCTAATACTCAAAATTAATGAGGCTGTTTGAGAAATCATTCATTTCCCAAATCCCATTGGTTTCCAAAGAGAAATTGATTGCTGTTAAAACTATGAATATGAAAATCTCCTTTTGGGTGTGTATGGTAATGATAATGAATACACATAACCCTTTCATATTCTTTGTAGAAATCTCATATTAGTGAAGTTGGTGATTGATTTTAACAGTCTGCATGAGTGAAACTCATGCAGACTTTCTCTTGCGAGGTTGACAGGTAAATACCAAATGCTGGTTTTTCACTGCTATCCAACTCACTTTCTTCCTGACAGAGATTCAGTCCAAGAATTCTGACAGGAAACACAAAGCAGAATGAGAGACAGCAGCAGTATTGTTGTGCTGCTATTGGTTCTCGAGATTGCAGTGTTTCCATTTGGCTGACAAATCTCAGGAGACCTCGTGCTGTCATCAAAGAGCTCTTCCACAACCCTGTAAGTATGGACATCTATGGTTGGATTCACTTGGATCACATTTGGAAGGCAGTTATACCAAATTAAGTTATTAAGTTATACCAACACGTTGACGACCAGCCTATTTTTGCTTGTCCGCCACGTGGGACCACGCGCATTTTTTTTGTCAAAAAATGCTTCCTGCCATCAGGACGCATGGTCCCAGAAAACATTTTTTTTTGCCGAGTTTTTTTAAAATGTTGAATTTTTTGGAATTTTTATCCGTAATTACGAAATCATAATCTTCTGGAACGTTCTCAACAGTTCCAGAGGGTATTCATTGAAAAAAAATCTGCATCCTGGCATCAGGACGCACTGTCGCCAACGTGTTAATGGCTGTCTCGCCGACAGTCTCGTATGGCCTGAGGAGCGAGTCATTCGAGAAATTCGCTAGTGAGAGAGGGAATCCTCGGTTCACATCCCTTAGAAGGGGCGTCCAAACATGACCACATTTCCACATAGGAGTTCTTGTGCCTTGGGCGAAAAGCCCACGATGTCGGTGCCCTCAATAAGGAAAAAGGAATTGGTTCTATTCCCGATGGACCATCCAAACACGCGGGACACGAGACATAGGGAGCCGTTTCCCAACTCATCTCATGTGTCGGACGTAGAAACCCACTAAAAATATTTCCACTTCTTATTTCTAGTGCATATAGGCACGCAGTCTGACTCGATTGGACAATGTTGGCAGGAAATTAATGTCATTCTACAGGTATTTGAGACTCGGAACGAAAACGATTTATTCCGTGAAGCTGGCGACCCCGTTGGTGTGACAAGGACGACTGTCTAAAGCCATCAAGGATGTGTTAGAAGCTCTGTGCCAAAGAGCAAATTATTTCATTTATCTTCCCGAAGAACCCAGGGAACCGAATGCCATAAAGCAAGGATTCTTCGCCATCGCAAAGTTCCCAAATGTCCTTGGTGTAATTGATGAACGTCGAATTTCCATCAAGGCTCCATCTGATGATGAAGAAGTTTATGTGAACAGAAAATTCTTTCATTCGATCAGCGTTCAAGGCATCTGCAACTGTGATCTCATCTTTACGGGCATCGTTCCCAAATGGCCAGGAATAACATATGCCAGCTTCATATGGAATACATGTGACCTCAGTGCGCGGTTTGAGAAAGAGGGGACGGCCTGGTGACAGTGGTTATGTTCTCCAAATGTACTTGTTGACCCCCACAATCAAAGATTCTCCCTCTTCTTCCGAGGGTAAGTACAATAAAGCTCTCAAGCAGACAAGATGCATCATTTTAAGTTGTTTTGGGGTTTGGAAGCCGAGATTCAGGTGTCTGCTCGAGTCATGTGGATCTTTGCAAGTGGCACCTGAAAAATACCGCAAAATAATTGTGGCTTGTACGATACTCCACAACGTGTGCAGAAGAGCAGGAGTTCCAGACAATGACATCGTGTTGGAAAATGCTACGAGGTACTGTCACTAATGAAGCTGACTTGGGAAGCTCAGATGCACCTGTATCAAATAATGCCGAGGATTTTCGAGACAGTGTTGCGAGACGCTTTCGATAAAGTTTTCAAATTCTGTCGAGATTAAGCGTTTTTCTCAGACAAAATAATTATAACAGCCACGCCAGATTTTAAAGTGGCCTATTAGTGTGATAACCGGACATCATGAGTCAAATATTATGCATTCCAGTTACGTTAATACTCGTTAGTGTCCTCTAACCTCCTAATAACAAAAGAAAGCGTCATAATGCATAATACTCTTTCAGTTACGGCCCCCTGGTTTTAAATCCATGCCACGTCCTTGCTCTGAAGACGGGTGTGCCAATCGACATTATCTCTGATTCATGGAATCCGTGTCCGAGGAACCCTGCCCGTTGTGGGATGTGAATCGAGAAGAGCTCATCCGAATATTTATTTTGGACGCGTGTTGCGCGTGAGAATGCAGCAGAATATTCAGAAAGATAATACTGCCGTTGTGTCCGTTCGGACGCATTCTTCCGTTTCTTCGGAACTTATGGAGCAGCACTCTGGCAGCGGGGAGGGAGATGGCCAGCAAACCTCACAATCACACTTTGCTTATCTGCCCCAAAATGTCGCTGACAGAGACAAGCACGGCTGAAACGTGAATCCTGGTCAGCATTCATTCCTGCCAGGCGTCTCTCCTGGGGGTCTCCCTTGTGCGTGGATTCTCATGTGTGGCGTTTCGGATTTTTCCAGTTTCCTCCACTGGCAGGAAATTGGATTTTAGCGGAATGCAAGGAAGATGCATGGATATCAGCTTTCGGTGGCAAGGATAAAATATATTAATAGAAGCAAAACAAACATTGAATATATTGCAAGGAATGAAGACGAGCCTCGATCAGAAACAATTTCTAGAAAGATACAAAGGATACAGACGGGAATTTGGGGGAAAGATACCCTTTAACTTGGAACAGTAATGACCAGAACGACCACGAATAACTGCAGTACAACATGGAGGAGAAAGTGGGGTGGCTAGTGTGCCTTTTGCCCGAAGGGCAAACAAATGACTTCCTGTATCAGGTCTAGTAGGTAAAAATTCAATGCATCTTTTATTTATTGCTTCGTGAATTTATCTTGCAATCAACGTCTTGTTATCTTTAAGTGAACCTAAATGTATTAAATAGACACGGATATGGAACGCTGGGCATGAACACGGGAAGCCCAAAAAGACAGCAATGCCTCTTGGCTTCATAGCTAAACCTCTATCCACGAACTTTGAATATGTGACCATTATTTGCAATGAATTTTTGTGGACCTTTTCCTTTCAATTTGTTTTGTTTCAAGAGCGAACTTTACCCGCTTTTGTTTCCTATTTCATATTCCCTTTCTGCTCCACTTTCAGTCTCATAACTTTTCTCAGCAGGATAAGGTTTCGGTATTTCCAGTTCCAGGATGATCTGAAGCGTCCTGATTAGGTTGTTTGCACAACATCGATAAGACTCGAACGGGAGAAATGATATGGATCCCATGGAAACAGTAGTCGATGATACACATTTTTCTGTTTAGCCATTTTCAAGAGGAGTGGAAATGATTTCACCGTCATTGACATCTAGCTCAGCTGCATCATTAGCAGCACAGGAACCGTGACCGAGGGGGTAAATGCCTCGTTGACGATCTGAATGACGTGAGTTGTCGATTAATCGCTGTATTGTGTTTTCCGAAAGCCGTGTTTCTGGTTCATCGAAATAATTGGGAAGTAATGGGTTTTTCAGAAATTTGCTTGTGTTTCGTGCATGGAGGAGCAAGGTTCGACGCGATTATGCTAATGAATTCGACAACGCCATCAGGATAAACTACTTCATTCGCCAGTAGACTAGTGTCTTGCTGCAGCTATGAGCTAAATATCATTCGTGCCCTCGAGCATCGGTGTGTGAGCATAGAAAGCAATGGCATGACCTCTAGTACCTGAGTAAGATTTGAGGCTTCGTCTGCTGTAGAGCAAATGGAAATCGTGACCAACGCTTTCGTCACGGCCTAAATGGTCGTGGACATTTCGTCCTGGACAAAACGTTGCAAACCTATGTCGTCGTTGCACAACTTAGTCGCAGACATAGATCGTCACACATGCACGGCGAGGCAATAATTTGCAGAAAAGGGGAAAAAGCAAGGGGAGAAAATTCGCATGAAGGAAGGTGGTATCGGAATTTCTGATCAGCTGGGGAAGAAAAGGGGAGTGAGGGAATTTTCAGTCGTTTTTGGCGTTGTTTGAGATTCGCCTTTCGTGTGCAAACTTGAGTTTTGGTGTTCAAGACAATGGAATGTATCAAAGTATGTACATCAGCTATTCTCAGTATTTATTCTAACCTATGGACCCCCTTGAATAGAAGGGGAACAGCACGAACCCATTCCACTATCGCCTAAATTTGTATGCTCATAATATTAGTGCAAGTGATTTTTGGAAAAGCATTTCATGAGTTGATATTGAATTTCTGAATTTTAATTTTTTTGTCATTTTTTCTTGTCAGTTATTATTGGCCAGGCCATGTTTTTCGTGGACCACATGAAGTCTAGCCACGAGCCCACATGGGTCTCCGAATGCCCTGTCGAGGAAACGTTTATCTACAGGGTTGGAAAACTGTACTAAGATGGGTAACATTTCACTGTACTAATATTAAGTGACTCGGTGATAGCATTACAATGTGGATATCGAGCTTTGAAGGTGATAGGGTGTGGCTTGCACAAAAGAGCGGTTCACAGTGTTGACTTATGACAGTTTTAGTAATTCATGAACTGCAATAGACAAAAGAATATTAATAAAAATATTAGAACCCACTTACGGAAGACTTCTAAAATGCACCATGAGTACCCCCTCGAAATGATCCTTTGGCAAGGGAAGTCCGACGATTTGTGTCTGCGACACAATAGTGCAACGACGATATGGGCTTGCGACGTTTTGTCCACCACAATTTAGGTCAGAACGAAAGCGCTGGTAACCAATGGGAATCACTAACATTCGCAGCTAAAACCTGATGAAATATAGATATGGAAGGATATCACAAATATGGGATATAATTATTCCGTCGTGGGAAGCATTTTTTAAAAGTTAATGTTCCCTAAGACACTTTCTTGTCTAAGTGAAACGGGAACATGAAGGAAGCTAAAGTTCTATAAACTTGCTGCCCTATACAATTTGCTTTCAAGGAAATATTGACTTGTGAAGTCATTCCCTTGGGACATAACTTTTTTGTGTAATAACTTTTTTGAGAATACTTTCCTTGCTGCAAATCGGACAAGCTTTCGGGCCGATGTGCTATTAAGTGAGGTGTGCTATTAAGGTGCACAAAGCCCCTCACAATGGAGCACAGAGTGGCCTATGCTTCAGCCCAAGGGAGAGCAGGTAATACCCGAAAGCAACCGGGTGAACTGTCGCCCCAGTATCAGGTACGGCCTGCTGCCGGTTCGAACCTGGACCTCCCGCGTGCGGCCGGGCCCCTTATACACTGAGCCACGGTGACGCGGTCATCTCCAACTTCTTACTTTTTCAGTTTCAGAGAAAATCATGAGATTGGGATCCTGTTATCCTTGAGGTCCCTTTTTTAGGGGGGGGGAATGGGAAACGTTG